CAAAAAAAAAAAAAACAACCCCAAAACAACCCGACCTCACATAGGCCTTAGAAGGCGTGTACAATATTCAGTATTATAATATTGTTGAAAGTATTCCAAACTTGTTGTTGCCCCCCCTCCCAACCCTGCCTGTAGCCGCACCGTAGCGCCACTTCTACTTCTCCAGTGATGAAGAAAACACTTTATCAGTCACATGGGAGGTATCCGCTCTGCTGGGGAAACTTCGGTCTTTGTACTGGGAGAGGCCATAATGATATATCATTATGTTTATCTCTATCTGTCGCTTAGGCTAGACAATCAATTTATTGAACTGGAATGTACATGCCTACTTATTTTGAGCTTCCAGTTCCTTTTCAAATAACTCGCCCCACCCCCACCCCCACCCCCAACACACACACCTCTCCAAAAGAAAAACAAGACAGATAAGTAAATAAGGTGAAATAATTGGCTGAATGGACGCTCAATAAACAACTGTTTTGAAAATATTTTTTTTAATTTAAAGAAATAAAAATAGAATAGAATCTAAGTAAATTAATTCATACAAAAACGGCAGACAAACAAATTGCTCTTGATTGTGCTATTAATTTTATTGTCAGGTAATTTACCAAATTGCCGGTATCTCCCTCTCCCTAAGTATGGTGATAGTGTTAGTTCAGCAATGAAGTTCCCTGTCATTTTCCTCTTACCGTAATGAATCTTGGCTAAAGTTTCCGTCTTTTATTTCTATACCGGTACTCAAAGCAGCGTGTACATCTCGCCCTGAGCTGTGCTACATTATTAATTTAAGGATTGTATTGTGGTTCGTCCTCCTCAAGACATAATAATTATTGACATTTTAGCCGTATTCAAATGTTTGTGTGTCCTCCTTTCAGAGAGAAAACTGCTTGCAAGGACAAAGAAAAAAAACTATTTTCTATGGTACATCTACTACACATTTGACACAGACAGATACGATAATGACCACAACTTTAGATACAGATTTATTTTCTAAACGATCTTTTAAACAATCTGTTGTTGTTTCTTTTTAAATTTTTGTTATTTTTATAGGATACCCTTCAAATAATATGATTCTTACTCATGCCAATGATACTTACACTTTGAAATCATTTCGGAAATCCAAGCATAGATCTAACTAAATCTAAAATTTCAGCCGCAACTATCATATTCCATGATGTCTTTAATAAGCAGATACTTTTAGAATAATATAAATTAACTGTAATTGGCAATACTCACTTGTACACCATTTTGAGAATTCAAATATAATCCATCTTCAGAATCTAAAACTTCAGCTGCACAATTGACATCCCCCATCTTTGCACCGGCAATAGATCTAGTACATTATTATAGTTAGTCCTTGCAGTTTTTTTCATCGCTGTGAAAAAGGCGACGCGCTCGACTGAGAAAGCCTAGACTAGACTCCTAGCTTTTGATGGGTTTGTCTACATCTGAATCTGTTCGCCGGGGTACATTTGTATTTATACCGCTGGCCCACCTGCCCAGAAATACCTCCATTTCAACTGTTGAGCAACATTTCTCGCTCTGTGCAACCAATCCGAGATTCGGATTTTAAGAGGATTTGTTTGCAATACGTCACGTAACCAGTGGCGGGGGGAAAAAGAGGGG